TTTTTTTTTTTTTTGGAGAGGTTTTTGCTACAGGGCACGTGTGCTCGCCAGAGAGAGAGAGAGAGAGACAGAGGCAGAAAGGCAGCCATCTCCCCCCCCCCTTCCCTGGGGATGGCCATGCCATAATCCCTTCTCCTGCATTCTCCTCTCAGGATCTTGGACCTGACGTGAGTTTAAGCCACTGTGTCCAAGACTCGACCTGCGGTCAACTACATGGGAGTCCAGCAACATAGCCATTATGCCAACTGCTGGTCCCCCGAAAAAAAAATTTTTAAAAGAGATTTTTGCTATAGGGCATATTTATGTGCTCGTCAGAGAGACAGAGAGAAAGAAATCACCCCCTGGGGGGATGGCCACACCTCAATCCCTTCTTCATTCTCCTCTGAGGATTTTGGGCACCCCCTCACACACACACACACGCCCGGCGTGAGTTTTAAGCTATTGGGTTCAGGACTCGAACTGTGATTGTCTAAATAGGAGTCCAGTGATGTAACCGTTATGCCATCTGCTGATCCCAATAGTTAAATTTTTTAAAAAGAAGTCAACCCTGAGCCTATAAGAAAATTAGTTTCAGCGCCAACAGGTGGCACAGTGATTAAGACACTAGACTCCCATGTGGTCGACCGTGGTTTGAATCCTGGACCCAGCAGCTTGAAATACACAGGGCTTGTGTGTGTGCCCAAAGTCCTGAGAGAAGAATGGAGGAGAAGGGGCTACAATGTGGCCATCTCCCCCGAAAGGGTGATTTCTTGCTTTCTGTCTCCCTGGCAAGCACAAACACCCTATTGCAAACATCTCTCAATGAATAAATAAATGAATGAAAGAATAAATAAATAAACAAATAAATAAATAAGAAAGAAAATCAGTTTATGCACATTTACTTCTAATTGCAAACGTAACAAAAGCTCTATAGGTGAAATATTAGGAAAGATACCGCCCATATCACAAGATTACTGCCATCTAAGAATGGTTGGGTGGGAGAAGAAATGTACACCACAGTACTACTGAGAACAGTCAATGTTTCTTAAGTGCTTTCTCTGGTTAGGCATTAGATTTAAGGTGCTCTGTTAATTCAATCGTCACACTATGTGACCTCTATCTCTATGCTTTTAACCGCTATTCTGCAGGCCTGCCTAAATATATTTAATGGACGATGGATGCTGTATAAATGATACCATGCCCCAGACGTCCCGTAGAGATGAGACAGGAGGACAGCCCCGTTCGAGAGAACAGAATCAGGCTTTGAGGGAAAACTAAAGAATGGATGGTTCTGGAGGGCAGGGTCAGGAAACTGCCAGAGGTGGAGGTTCTCCTGTGAGCACAGTGGAAGTGCTGTAAGAAAGTGTGATGGGGGGCCAGCAGGTGGTGTGGTGATGAAGATGCTGGACTCCCACATGGCCTGAACTCCAGAGCTGGCAGCTTGCTTTTTCACTTTCTCTCTCCCTCTCTCTGTCTCTTTCTGGTCAAACTAAAACATAATAATAATAAAATAAATAAAATTAAGTGAAATAATTCTTAAAAAAAAAGGGGGGGGAGGGAGGAGAAGAAAGCTGTGTTTGGGTGCGGGCTGGGAGAGAGGTGTGTGTGTGTGTGTGTGTGTGTGTGTGTGTGCCCAAAATCCTAAGAGGAGAATGGAGAAGGGACTGTGGCATGCCCATCACCCCTGGCGTGGCAATAACAAGAAATGTGATTGGGGCCGGCAGGTGGCGTGGAGGTTAAGGTGCTCAATCCCACAAGGCTTACTGTGCAGTTCTAGTCCCGGACCCAACCACTTGAAATCACACCGAGCACATGTGCTTGCCCAAACTCCTGGGAGCAGAAGGGAGAACGGAATGGAGAAGAACAGATTACGGCATGGCTCTCCCTTCTGGGGATCATTTCTCATTTTCTCCCTCTCTCCTGTTTCTCTCTTTTGTCTCACTCTCTCTTTCTCTCTCTGGCAAGTGTATGTACCCTATAGCAAAACTTAAAATAAAATAAAATAAAATAAAAAGGTAGGTGAGACTGGGAAGAGCTGGGACAGTGTTTGTATTTTCTGGGGAAGCACTCGCGAAGGTTTCCCTTAAGCGGGAGAGCAGAGAAGTGGACTTCAGAATGATCTGGTTGCCCAACACAACATTGTTTGGGAAGGGAAGATACAATTAAGACGATGGATTAGGAAGGTGGCAGTCAAAACTGGAAGCCGGGCCAGCTCTGTGACACAGCAGTGATCTGCTACTCAGGAGAAGTCAGATCCTGCAAGTTGACTCCAGTTCAGATCTCAGGCCTGGTCAGCGTGAGATCTGCGAGGCACAGACAAGAATACCCGGCTTCTGACGACGGGCTGGGGGACTGGAGGA